TGGAACAGGAGGGGTGTGCTGAAAGTTCACTTCCTTTCAGAACAAACCCGATGGTTTCAGCGTCGCTGAGAGGTTTGTCCATCCTGCTCAAACATGGAAAAGGTTTTCTGGTTATTTGTTTTGCTTCTCCTCCACTCAGCTCAGGTCATTTCCTACTCACCTCTGAACACGATCTGTAAATGCCTTGCTGGTACAGGCCAAGTTCTCCCTCATCCCTGGCTCATACGTTTGGAGATGCTGTTACAGGTTTTCCTGTCATCTTTGAGAGGAGGCTCAGGTGTGTACAACCTCTGGTTTCCCTCTGCCAAAAAACACGAGCTCTCTTCCTTTTTCCACTCGTAGCTCACCTACATCCCCTCTCATTTCCCATCACCTATTTTTCAGTGTCTTGAAGGAAGTCTTTGACCTCTCTGAACAAGCTTGAGGCTTTCTATGGCTTAATGCCACTAAATTACATGGTTTAAAGTGGTTTAATGGTTGCAGAAGTACAGCAAAGTCATGCAGTGGGGCAATTCTTCCCTGGAAATACAGAATCATACTGGTTCGGGGTGGAAGGAACCTTAAAGCTCATCCCGTTTCAACCCTCCTGCCACAGGCAGGGACACCTTCCACTAGAGCAGGTTGCTCCAAGCCTCTGTGTCCAACCTGGCCTTGAACACTGCCAGGGATGGGGCAGCCACAGCTTCTCTGGGCACCCTGTGCCAGCGCCTCAGCACCCTCACAGGGAAGAATTTCTTCCTAATGTCTTATCTAAATCTACCCTCTGTCAGCTTGAAGCCATTTGCTTTAAAGTCATGGCCATTGGGAGGTATTTGCACCACATTTATATAGGCCTCTGATTTAGGTACCAAGGGAAGGATGTCTGGAGGATCTAGTGGGTGTAGAAAAAAAAAAAAAACAAAACTAAACCGTGGAAAATCTCATAAAAATGAAAGAATTAAACCAGGACTCAAATCAAACTCTTGCCTGCAAAGGTATTTCCTGCTGCAGGAAATACAGAAGCTGTTAGGAGAGTTATAACATGTTTCAGTTGGCCTGGATAAATCCACAGATGAATACACGAAGTCTGAATTACTGGCATCCGGGAAGTGGTTAGTTCAAAAAGAGTCACAGGCTAGATCCTTCTCCCTTCTCAGAATGACCACTCAACATGCACAAGTATTAGCTGCCCACAAGAACTGCAAGCTTTTCCTTTCTGAGAAGACACCGCAATGTCCATCAATGTGCTCGGCAGTCATACATTGAAACCAATGTGACTACTATCAAAACGATACAGAAACCCTGGGATTACAGTATCTCTGACAGATTCTCCTTTCTCTCCACATTTATTTCACCGTTTCTACCCAAAGACGAAACTTGTAGCAGCTTGAGGACCAGCTAATGTATGTCTTCTGGGGCAATGTTTTGGGGATTCACCAAACTACCCAGGCGATGGGGGAAATCCAAGCGCATCACTTCGGAGATGGAGCCAGGGCTGGGCTTCACTACAAAAATCTGTGTCTAGGTATGAATCAAGGGGGTACATCTGAAAGGGCACCACTGGTTATGCCTGATTCCTCTTCACAGCCATGTAGGCAATGACTTCATGCCACCCCACTACCTGAAATCACAGAGCTGAGCCCCTGCTTTGTGTTGTCTTTCCAGAAGCATCCATGGGGCAGGCCATGGGCACTGTTGGGCAGCACTGCTGTTGCAGCATGGCTATTGCTTGCCTGCATCCCCAGGGTTGACTTCTTCTTGGAGGGGAGCTGCTGCCAAGGCCACCTCTGCAGAGGGGACAACTTCCTTGGTGCTCGCAAGGAAGAGGAGGCGCTGCTGTCTTTCCCCCCTGTGGGACATGAGGGTTTCATCCTGCATGCAAAGTGAGTTGATGAGCACCATGATGGGGCTTGGAGCAACCTGGTCTAGTGGAAGGTGTCCCTGCCTGTGGCAGGGGGTTGGAACTGGGTGAGCTTTAAGGTCCCTTCCAACCCAAACCATTCTGTGATTCCATGATTGTCATGAAAGAAGCATCACAAGGTTGGGCATAAACAAACATGTCAGCGCAAAGCAGCACTTCCCTAAAGGAGGCATCTCGTATCTTGTATAGGTCTGGGGGCCAACACATGCCCCTGGTTGAAACCGAGATTGTTGTGGCTGAACTGCTTGCCCAGGACCCCTCTAAAGCCACCTCTCTAAATCTATCCAGCCAAAACACGGTTCTGTAGCTCCCACTTCTCTCATGGGTAGACAGGAGATGGACACTTGCCCTGTAGCCACAGATCTGGGGGTATCATCTCATGCATGAGTTACCTTGGTCTGTCCATTGCATGTCTCCCAGGGTTAGATTCTTCCTGTACTGGTTTCCTTAAGCACTGCCAGCGGTGGTGTTGGTTTCCGTTGGTCATGGAAGAGGCACGCTTGGAGCATGCCCCAGCTCGGTCCTCTCCACCTTGCAGCTCTGGGGAAAGTTGCTTTCACTTCTCTTGGTTTTCCCCAGCTACAAAAGCAGGAGCGTTTTGAAGTCATGAACTTCAGAAAGATGTTGAAACTTCTTTGGTGCCTCTATAGCAAACTACGTGACCTCTAATCTCTCCTGGTAAATCCCTGCCTTCCCTGCTGTTTTGCAGACTTTCCTTTGAAGAGATCTCTGCCATGACTCAGCAAAACCATTTAAACCAGTCCTGGGTTGAGCTTCTTCTAACAGCTCTCTGCAGGGAAATTGAAAACTCCGAGAGTATTGAACTAAATACAGTTTTAAAGCCATCTCCTTTCCACTGCCATAGCAGCAAGGCTCTCATTCCCTCCCTAGGATTTTGGCAGTAGCTCATTCAAATTGCCCCTGGCCTCTCTGCAACCCTGATGTACAGGGAATTAAACTCTTCCCTCATCTGTTTTTGACCATTCTCTCTTGAACAAGGTCTTCATAAAGACTTTTGGACCCATCTCAGAGGGAAAACAAGTTTCAAAGAGGAAGATGAGAGCTTATGGTTTGAATGGAAGGCTTTTTTTTTGCCGTTTACCATTTTGCTACTCTATAAAATGCTGATGTGAAATTGAAAATTCCAAATTACAATGTAGTCACACAATCACATAATTTTTCTTCTGCCCTCTTCCTTCCTCCTTGCCTTGCTACTGTGGCTGTGTGTCCCTGCTTCCTCTTTTGCTTCCTGGCTGGTGACTTTGTTTTATTCAGGGCAGCCCCCATCCCGCTAAAACCCATGTGAGACCCAAAGGTGTCTCTCAGTACTAACCCCCTGTGTGCCAAAATGCTTTGCTTCAGTCCTTCAATGGCTCATTTTGAGAGAAACCCAAAAGATGCTATGAAATATGTGGAGAAGCAAGTGCCAACGGACGGTCTGCCGAAATGGGCAGGTTTATTCCCTTGTGTGTAAAGTGTGGAGGACACTGCCAGAATAAAGCCTTAAAGCCTTGTGGACACGTGGCTTTACAGCACTATAAGGATGTGCACAGTCTGACCTCTTCCTTTCCACGTGCTCCTACAGCTTCTTACTGCCACGTACACGTCTACTTTAGTGTTGTCAGTTTTCCCACTACCGTTTGATTATCCCTGCTGTGAATTATAGAATCCCAGACTGGTTTGGCGTGGAAGGGACCTTCAAGCTCATCCAGTTTCAACCCCCCTGCCACAGGCAGGGGGACCCTTCCCCAAAGCTCCAATGTGGCCTTCACCCCTCCCGGGGCGGGGCCAGCCACAGCTTCTCTGGGCAACCCGTCTCACCACCCTCACAGTAAAGAACTTCCTCCTTACATCTAACCTGAACTTCCCCTGTTTAAGTTTAAAGCCATTACCCCTTGTCCTACCACTACAGTCCCTAATGAAGAGTCCCTCCCCAGCATCCTTCTAGGCCCCCTTCAGACCCTGGAAGGCTGCTATGACGTCTCCACGCAGCTTCTCTTCTCCAGGCTGAACAGCCCCAACTTTCTCAGCCTGTCTCCATGCGGGAGGTGCTCCAGTCCCCTGATCATCCTCGTGGCCTTCTCTGGACTTGCTCCAACACCTCCATGTCCTTCTTATGTTGGGGACAGCAGAATGATGTTGAACTGGCTCACTGACTGCATAGCACATTGTACCCCATAGCTGGGGACATAAAAAGCTGATCTTCCTCGAAACACTCAGGACACTTCTAAGCCCTGACTATTTCAGGTCCAAAGTGCTGTAATGGGATACTAAATAGAGCAAAATAAGAAGATGCCTTCTCCCTCTGGTGCTCAGGTCTCGCCCTCACTAGTCCCCAAGTCCATCCGAGCCCTGTTCCTTTCCCTGCCACCATTCTCCAGCATCCGTCAATGTTTCACTCCCAGGCTGCTGGTACCAAGAAAACTGTTGTTCATCAATGTGCACATCAGTACTTAGCCATAGATGTGCGGCGATGTAGGAATAACTTGCTATTTGCTGGAGCTACTGTACCAGTCATCTCTTGACTTTCCTGGGTGTTTAGTATGTCACTGTACAAGCAAGATTTGAAGGGTCAGAGTGGAAATGTATAGCAGAGATCTTTATTTTTCCATGGTTCACTGCTAGGCAATTTTGCTGATGTAAGAGGTAGCAAAAATAGCGTGGGGGAATTATAGCCCTAAGAAAGAAATATGTAAATATCTGAGTGCAGTGAAAAAACCCTGCTTGCCCCGGGTTTGCGCTTTGATTTTATTCTGGGGTCTTTGTGTGGTTGAGGTGTGAATGCTAAGGGAGTGAAAGGTGATGCTTGGACAGACTCAGATGATCAGAAGCAGGGTGTGGGGAAGGTGATGTGGGGACTCCAAACATGCGCTTTGTCCCGATGGCTGGTTTTCATCGGCAATGGTGTAAATTCGGTTTCCAACCCGGCTGTGGGAGGCATCTGAGAAATTACATCACCACTCTTCACGGTCCACTGGTCGGATGTGACTGATGAAGTTCGAACCTTGCTGCTTGTGTCAGAGCGTGACCCTCCTGAATAAATAGGGGTGCTTTTCACCCGGTTCCTCAGACCTTCTCTGGGGCTGAGCCTGCCACGAGGATGCGAACGCCAGCTGGGATGGGGATGGGAGCTCCAGTGCTCCCATGGCTGCTTGTGCTGCTGGTGTTGTCCCACTCAGCCCATGCAGGTGAGCTTCTGGTGTCTCTGCAGAGATACCCAACGGTGATCAGCTTCCAGCCTGGCGTGGTCCTCAGGATGGATGGGCACCATCTGCATTCTGCACCGAAGGGGACCTGGGGGAACAGAGATGCACACTGTTTAACCCAGGGTTTTTCTCATAGGTGAGGAAAGAGCATGACCATCCTCCTTGGCTAGATTCAGCTTTCAGGAGCTGTGTGAGAGCAGGGTGCTGAGGTAGATAACACAGATAACAGTTTCCTATCATGGTTCCTAAAGCGTTGTCAGGGAAAGCATGGGAAGTGATAATTTCTTTGTCTCTAACTGATTTGGAGTTGTGGCACCTCTAAATAACTCTGTCTTTGTAACTCTAAATAACTCTCTACCTTCTCTCTTTCCTAGCCATCCTGGAGGTGAATGGAAACCTGAACTGTAGGTGCGTAAAGACAACCTCAGACTACATTAGTCCAAAGAGATACGAAAGCATTGAGATAAGACCCGTGGGGAGCACCTGCAGGCGTACAGAGATCATGTAAGTGCCAGTGGTGGCTCATGGGGTGGAAAGCTGTCTCCTCTGGCTCCCGTGTAGCATCGAGGCCAGCACTGCACCTTTTCTGCTGCAACCACCCCACTCTCTGCTCCCTTTCTGCAAACCAAGGCTTTTCAAGTTCGCTCATGCTTTGGGGCTGAGAAACATCAGGTCATTTCTGGTGGAGGAAATACACCCGAGTGACATGCCAGAGGTCCTCAGGACCTGAATGGAGCTTTCCAGCAAGGTAGAGTGTGATTTCCTCATGCTGGTGGGGGCTGTTTGCAGTTTGGAGGAAGCGCATCCTCAGACACTAAGGCAGGATGAGCCGTAACCCGTTTTTTCACTACCAATACGAGAGCAGAGAGCAAACTGCATCTTGGTTCAAGCCCGTATCTCTTTATTCCTGTCCAGACTGAAGTGGTGCGTTAAGCGGATGCGTAAGGTTGTTCTAACTGCTCAGCACTGATATATTTGTAAACCTACAGAGGAAACAGTCTTTGAACAGGCACCTTAGGGCTTGAAGCATGTGTTCCACATAGGAATATTTTGCATCTTGCTTTTTCTTGAGCATCCCGTGGCTTCCCTCTGTTTCTGGCAGCTTCCTGCGACCTGCTGGCACTGTAAATGAAAGCTGAGCGTTGCAGATCAGCACTGGCTGCTCAGATCCCTGCCTTTGGAGGGGAGGGCAATGCTCATAAACACTCCTTGTGTTTCAGAATTAAGCTAAAAACCTCAGGGAAGGTGTGTGTGAATCCTGATGCCCCTTGGGTGAAGAAGCTGCTGAAGCGTATTGCTAGCACGTAAGTTGCATTGATGAAAACCCTTTTGGCTTATCCTTGGTCCTGGGGAGCACTCACAGGGCAGAAAAAGGAAAATACGTTGGAGAGGGAATGATGGGATTGGGATTTGCTTATTGCAAGTGCAATAGTGTGTTGCTACTTGGCTGGGAAAGCTGCCGTCCTTTGCCATGCCTGGGCTTTTGGCACAGTGTGGGGCAGCTGAGAGACAGTGCCATGGCTGATTACAGAATCCTACAATGGTTTGTATTGGAAGGGACCTTAAAGCTCCTCCAGTCCCAACCCCCTGCCATGGGCAGGGACACCTTCCACTAGACCAGGTTGCTCCAAGCCCCTGTGTCCAACCTGGCCTTGAACACTGCCAGGGATGGGGCAGCCACAGCTTCTCTGGGCACCCTGTGCCAGCACCTCAGCACCCTCACAGGGAAGAACTTCTGCCTGATGACTAATCTAAATCCCCCCTTCGGTGATGCCTGTCCCGGGGACATGGTGGTGACTTGTCATAGAATCATTGAATGGTCAGGGTTGGAAGGGACCTTAGAGATGACTTCCTTCAGTTGGGGCAGGAGCTTCCTCCCCCAGGACCCGCTTTTCTCTGCGTTCACATGTTTCTCCTCCTTCTGCTTTTCACAGGAAGAAAAAATAAGTTTCCTGTGAAGGAAGTTGATGCTCAGAGCCCTGAGATGGGCTGGCAGATGATGCACAGGAACCTGGTTGCTCCCCACTTTGCCCTCGCTTCCCTCCCTCATCCCAAAAGTCCCATGTTCAGCCCCAGCAGCAGCCGCAGCAGGGAGGGCAGCTCACTGATGACCCAGCCCTATGGCAGGTTCTGGAGGTGTTTCCCTCCTGCATTCAGTCCCTGGATGAACGTGAATGTGAACCCTTCATTTCTTTGCTCGACTAAACACTGTGAAGGGGCCGCTCCTGCCTCTGTAGGAACAACTTTATGAGTCCTTCTGTGCAGAGTGCTCATCGACACGGTGTGTCTGTGGTTTTTATTACACAGCGTGGCATGTCCTGGCCTGAGAGCTCAAGTCAAATAAAATTCAGGGTGTTTTCCATTTGTTGTAATTTCCCTGGATCTCCCAGCTTTGACAGACCCCACCGCTGTAGCCTTCCTGGAGCTCAGATTCCATCTTTTGCATCTGGCGCTCTTGATGCTCTTTCATAGATATGCCACAGGCATGAAAACGTGCAGGTGAGGTACCTGTGCTATAGGTAGCGGAGTGAGGGCAGCACCCAGGTACATGTCAGGCACAGTGACAGCCCTTTTTACACTGAGGAATGAGACAGGAGCAGGGAAAAGTTTGTCCAAGGCAGCAACGGGAGCTGGGAGGGGTGTTCCAGCCCTCAACCACCAGCGCTGGTGATGGGGCTGGGGTGTGCAAGCAGTTGAAAGCCTTTTGAAAGCAGTAAAGGCCAACAGGAATCATAGGTCACAGACTGGTGGTAGCTTCTCTGGGCAACCTAAGCCAGGGCCTCACCACCCTCGCAGGGAACAACTGTTTCCTAATGTCTAATCTCAGTCTCCGCTCTGTCAGGTTAAAGCAATTCCCCCTTGTCCTGTCCCTACATGTCCTTGTAAAAAGTCCCTCTCCAGCTTTCTTGTTGGCCCCTTTCAGAATTGGAAGACTGTTGTAAGGAAATATAGAGGGTTGGTGCAGGGTCACTTGGCAGAGTTTTGGGATAACCAGCCATAGCTGGGAAAGAGCAAAAGCAGATGCCACCAAAGCTCAGGCTGGGGGAAAATCTGGTTGTAGAAGAAATGAGTAATATGCAGAAGATAAAAGCACCCTAAAAAACCTCGGAGCTTGTGCAGCTGCATGGGCTTAAGGACAAGCACTGGGACAAAGGACCGATATCTTTACAAGACCTGGCTTCAAAGCAAGGGGAAAATGGAACCGGTTTCAGGAAGCCTGGGCCCCTGATGGGCAA